GGGGCCCGGGGGGGGGGGAAGTGCGCCCACCTCCCAACGGGAGGGCTGCACAGTGCCATCGCAAGGGCCTGGCAACAAGGGAAGGTCGGGAATTGAGGACATTTTTGCAGTATCCACCAAAGCACCAGTACATATTTTGGTTTTTGGTGGTTTTTTGTTTTTTTTTTTACTTTATTTTTAATTTTTGTAATGTTTATTATTGAGAGACAGAGAGAGACCGAGCATGAGCTTGGGAGGGGCAGAGAGAGAGGGAGACACAGAATGTGAAGCAGGCTCCGGGCTCCGAGCTGGCAGCACAGAGCCCGTCGCGGGGCTCGAACCCACGAACCGTGAGATCATGACCGGAGCCGAAGTCGGACGCTCAACCGACTGAGCCCCCCAGGCGCCCCCTCCTCTTCCTAAGCTTCTAATCAAACAGCATTTTGTGCCCTGCTCCGTCTCGCTCTGGCTCTCGCTCTGGTCCCCCTTCGGGAACCTCCCAAGTGCCCTCCATGTACCCCAGCCCCCTTCTTTCTCTCCTAAAAACGTTGCCACGTAATCTTCTCTGTGGCCGCTCTGAGCCTGCTCTGCCTGCCGTGAGCCATCAGTGGGTCCCCGCTCCGTGCGTACTGACTCCTCATTGCCGGTGGCTTTCTGGGACCTGCACCTGCGCCCTGCTACGCCCTTGACCCACCACTCACCGGTCACTGTCCTCTAGGGCTCTGTGCTCGCTCCGATCGCTTAACCTTTGCTCCTGCCAAGCCCCTGCCTGAAATGCCCTCTCCTCCCCACTCCTTCTGCATATCCAGATTCTTCCCATCCTTCAAGATCCAACTCAGACAAACCCTCTTTTGTTGACCTTCCGCTGAGCAGAATAACCCGTTGTGAGGCTGCCCTTCAGACTCATAATGCATGTTGTTTAGTCGTCTCATCTGGCATGCAGTCGTGTCTGTAGGGTGTGTTTTATGCTGCTGCCTTTTTCATTCGGCTTCTGTTTTCTTTAAAAGCACACGCACGCACCCTTACAGTTCTCCCTCAGCTACATTAATTCCTCGAAGATAAGAACCAGGAGACTGAAGACCTTGTTCCTTCCCAGGAATGACTGGGCCGGGGAGGCTAGTGGGTAGTAACAGTTTTTTGAACAGAACGGATGAGTGTGCCTTTGTTGTGACTTGGTGAATTGGGGATAAAGGATGGGATGGGGGAGGGGGGGTAAGGAAGGAGGAGTCATTTCAGAGGAAAAAAGGAAGTGATGATAATACTACCTTTTTCCTTCTCGACTGCATATGGGGGGAGGGGGGACGTGCCTTCCAGGAATGGAGGGTTACTGGGGAAGAGCCCAGAAGCCTCGGGAGAAGGCTTCACAGAGGATACACGCGGCCTGAGCCCCAGGCTTCGGTTACGTTCTCAGCTCTGCCCCTGACTCACACTGTAACTTTGAGCAGATCGCCTCGCCCTTTCTCCGTCTGTCCCTTTAACTATAAAAGAGGATTCCCGATACTTGCCAGAGACATTCTCACTGCATACGGTGCTGTGTTTTCTGTGTCTTTAAAATAATTGCGCGCCGTGATTGCATTTTGGGCACACCTCGAGAGGTAGGCATCATTTCATCAGCGTGGTTCGTAACTAAAGTTGAATCCTAGCTTCAGGACAAAGGTGAGCACGTAATGGTAAATTAATGGCATGGGGTTGGCTGCCAGCATCAGGGACTCCTAAGAAACCAAGAAAACAGGCATTCGGCGGAAAATCTGTTATGTCCACAGCAGGCGGTTGGATGGGCAGTTGTGAACTGTCGCCTGCTGAGAATCTCACAAGCTCCGGGTGCCACTGACACACCCCTCAGGGTCAGCGCTGGGGGTGGGGGGGGGAGCATCTCCTAATACTCCTGCCCCCCCACTTCCTAACATTTAGGGCAGCCATCAGGGCTCCTTGTCCCCAAAGTTTTAGAATGGGGGGGCCCCTGCCTAGGACCTCCGATAACAGCAGTACTGGAGGGGCATATGCTGGCTAGTGCAGAAAAGCGTTGTGTCAGAGGCATCTCTGAAATTTTGTCCGTCTCCGGCGCTCTTTTCCAAAAGCACATGGGCTGAATCTGTCTTGGCCAGTTTTCAAAAGCGGCCCCCAACCCCAGCCCACAGGCGAATTCTGGTTTTCTTTTCCCCAGAACCCTAAAAATGTAAATAATGCCAGTCTACCCCTGATTGGTCTATGGGTGCTATTTTCGCGTGAGGCAGACAGTTTATTCTGAGATCTACCAATACTGCAGCTCTCCTAGCATGTTCCAGCATCTACAGTCTGGAACCTTTACTGGAAGTCGTCCGGGAGACACGCAGGAAGAGTAAAAGATCCCAGATTCAGTCTGCGTGTTTTTGTATCGGTAGCGTCTGTTACAGGACAACGTGATGATTGATTGGGTTTTATTATAGAATCAGTTGGGGGAGTGTGTGTGCTCGTGTTCGTGTACTTTCCTAGGGCTTGCTTACAGAACCTTAGGTGAAGGTGCTTTGACGGCAGGTAAGTGTATCTGCCTTTGCCTAATTTAAGTTGATCCGGGGAAGTCGTGCTTTTCATTTGGTGCCGATGAGGCTTAGCCCCTCTCACTCAACGTAGCGCACACCTCCTGAGGTCCTCCTGTGTGCCTGTCGTACCCTAGAAGCCTAGGCACCAGGATACAGTGAGGAACAGAATGAATGGGTCCTTGTCTTGAAGGAGGGCTTGGAGACAGACAGACCAGTCGGGCAGGGTTCTAAGGGCAAGGCTGTTCCCTGGACGCAGCAGCCGCTGCAGGCGATGTCCTTGCTCGCCTCCCTGCCTTGCAGCCGCCCTCCCTCTCGCCTTCTCTGCACTGACCGGGTCAGTGATGTTCCTCTTCCTCAGGGGTCCGTTTGATCAGATACTCTCTCTGCAGCCTGACTTCTGGTTTCCTTTCCTGCTCTCGTGTCCTCACTCCTTGTGGCTGGTGCTCTGTCCTGCCTCCTGCTGTCGGGGTGCAGCCGGGAGGCAAACCAT